CACAACTGGGATTGGCGCAAAGATGCCTAAAATTGAGTTTTCCTAGATTGCGGCATCTGGGCAGGTCTAAATGCATCAGGGTTCTGCAAAATAGGTGTGGTTAACATAGAAGCATAGCGTTCAAAGAGATCTTCATCTAGCCTTCTACTCAGTGCAGGGTGCACTGGAGCACCTCTGAGCATGACCGTCCATTCGTCATTTGAAGGGAAACACACTACTTCATGTGGCAGCCTGTTCCGCTAGCCTGATCCTCCTGATAGCTAACCTGAACCTCCTTCCTTGTATTTTTGACCCATGCACTCTAGTCCTGCCCTCTGGGGCGAATAAAGCCATTTCTCTTCAGCACAACAGCCCTTCAGAGATTTGGAGCCTGCCGTCAGCTGGCCACCCTTGGCATCAGAGTGTGGGAGAGTAAGAAATCTGTTCATTTCATTTCCACATCCTTCACGGGGCAAAGGATCAACCTCGTGCAACCGGATGGTGGTCGGTGGCGTCAGTTTTTAGCGTTTGGCTGCTTCGTGCAACATGAACCCGCCTCTCGCTTTGGGCCGTGAGTCTGGGATGGTTTTAGACACAGCCAGGTTCAGCATCTCAGAGGCCTCCGGTTGGCCCTTTCTGTCCACGCAAGCCCGTGTTTTGAGAGATGGTGGGGACGGTGCCTTGAATAAGCCAGTTTCTGTCCAAAAGCAGAGAACCCAAGGTGAGAAGATAATTCTCCTCTTCCGCTCTCTTCAAGCAAATGGAAAAAAGTGGGATGGGTTGAGGAACCGCAATTCCCCTTCAGGCAAGCAAGCCAACGATACCTTCATGGGTTCTTCTTGGGCTGTTTCTTGCCACTAATCTTGGCATATATAGAAATATTTGATAGGTAATACTGCTGCCAGGGAAAAGGGGTTAGAAAGATCATTCTCTTACTCCCAAGATGTAAGAGACTGAACAGGTTTTTTCTTTGTCTGTTTTTAAGTAAAGTGCTTTAACTTGATTTCCACTTGGCTAGCATGATTCGGCCTCGGGACTTGGGCGCGCAAAGCACGATCCGTGTATGCCTCTCTTATTTGGCTTGGAGAATTGGTTCGGCAACTAGGAGTTAAGCAACTCCTCACCCTGCAGGGGCTTGGAAACTACAGAAATTCAGACAAGTTCATCAGGATGGGCAGTCTGAAATGACCTGCAATGCGCTCGCTTGTGAAACAGCCAGCTGTTTCAGAAAAAAAAAAAAAAACAGCAGGAGCTACTGCATAAAACCGATCGGCGCAAGCAAAAAAGCCAAACATGTGAACTGAGGGGTGTGAGTCTCTTGATCGGCCGAGATATGTTGCATCCAAAAATTAAAAAGGAACACATTTTGAAATCCAGCTCAGCCCTGGAAGTTCTAGTTCCCAAGGGGGCTTGTCTGGACAATCTTGATTTTTGCTAGAAAAGAAAAAAGAAACAACAGCTGGAGCCCTGTTATGGTTGGACCTCAAAGCTTCAAACTGGAAGCTGGGAAAATTTTGGTGGGGGGCGGGGAATCTCCCAACATTAACAGAAACTTATTTAAAATATTTATAATCATTTGAATTTACTCTCAGGGCTGGCAGAGCACGCTTTTATACTTTCTTACTCTTTTTTAAACGTTTTAAGCAGGATAACCAATTTTTTCTTCTTTTTTTTTTTTCCTCTTTCTAAAATTCCCCAGGAATTTGCTGCGTGCTTGAGGTGGTCACTGGAGATTTTAAAAAATATACTAAGGTCGCAGACGTGTGTTATGTACAGATTGTTGTTTTCTGTATTGCTTGTGACACCCCCCCCAAAGGAACCCCTGAAGATTTCTCCCTGCATGTTAGACAGACTGAAGCAGACTCCTCAGGCAGCGGATCGTGGCAGGAACGGGTTGCATTGTTGCAAAACTTTGCATCCCATTCCATAAACGACATCCATTTCCTGAATAACACCCCATCACGCGAGCATGAATTTGTTCTGCAACATAGGAAATGTGTCTACGGAATTCATTGCAAGACACAGCATGAAGCACATATAATTTTAGAAGTCTGTTTCCCTATGGATATTGGACATTTGGTTTAGGAATTCATTCCCCAAACCTAAGTCATCCTTGAATTTTATCCTTTTGACTGTAGAAATAAGTCTCTCTCTCTCTCTCGGTAATATAGACCAAAATGGTCAAATCTTGGTGGGAGACAAAGCTGTGTCCATCTGTTGACGCTTAAAATAGCTTACATAAACCTTACAACAATGGTTAAATACAGTTATGTACAGCATACACTTGCTCTACCAGAGCAAAGGATTCATCTAGCTAATACAAACGTCACTTGGGTTCACTGAGTCATAAAGAGCTTTTCTGTCACTGTAGAAAAACAAACACTTTTTGGCAGTCTGTTAAGGAAAAGAATGGGGTCGGTGGTGGTGGTACCCATTGTTTCTAGATACTTTCCAACAAAAGGCGGATTGGGAAGAGATGACCCCATTTTCACCAAAGAAGAAACTCGGGCACTCCACCATTGTTGAACGAAAAGTTGAGAATTGGTAAAGGAAGAAGTTGTGGATGCTTTAGGAATGAAACCAGCCGATCCTCTCCTTGTGGACGCAAACCTGACACCAAAGCGTTCAGGAAATTGGAATATAGGTTTTCACCGACTTCTGGTCTGCTGCTGAACACAGCCGTTTTCTTTTTCCCTGGCACGAAAATGCAAAAAGACGCTTGTTGTAGACAATGTACCGCAGTGGACTGCGTGAAAGAGGTCCACCCCACAACTCTTGGGAAATACTTTTGGTGGCTTCAGTCTAGCTCCTGTGCCAGATATCTTCTGGGTCCGCAGGCAGGCTGGTTGGCTGTCGCAGACCCCCTCAGTTGATTTCTCCCTCCAGAAATTCCTCTTTGATGGACTGTTTACGGGATTTGCAATCTGGGAGGTCGAAGCCAAAGTCTGCCCATTCATCGGATCCGCTGCGGTTTGGGATGGTGATGGTGTGGCGGACTCGGAAGTGAACGGCCTCCATGACGCGCTGCCGTTGCAGCTCTCCGGAGGTCCCGATGGAAATGGTGGCGGCGTTGCTGCTGGAACGGATAAGCTGCTGGCTTCCATAATCGTGACCTTGCTTAAAATCTTGGAGGCCCCTCCAGATGATCATCCGGTATTGTTCTGGGATCTTCAGGGCTCCGAGATCCTACAAAGAAAACAAAGGCGTCAATCAACTCTTAGCAACTGATCTCCATCCTTTGAAACCAAGCAGAAAAAAGCAAGATTCATCTCTTTGGGCATCTAAAGGTGATACCCAAAAGTATTGCTAAGTAGTTGTCCCATTCTGAGGACCTCTGGACCTCATCTGCTGAAAAATACCCTCCAAAAAGGCGTTGCCTTTTTTAAGAGAAGGGTAGTTTTCAGCAAATCAAAGCTGATATTAAGGGTCATCCCTATGAATGTGAAAAACATCCATGCATTGTTGTTAGTCTGGTTAAAATGACAAATCCAACCCTTTCCCCAGGTTGGGAATTTAGCCTGGGAATGCTGAACTGGTGTAAGACCTCTTGGAACATTTGCTTTAAAAACCACACCACAGGCTACTGTAGGGGATTAGGGGTAAGGTAGTTTTGAGTTACACTAAGACTGTGCGAATGATTTTGGCCACTGTTGACGAAGGGGGAGAGAAATGTGGGTCAGGGAAGCCTACTTGACCTATGGCTAGGGGAATCTGGGGAGGGGCAGGCCAGAAAAGGAAGATGGTGCCCATGGGATCAAAATCCTGCTCCATTCTTATGGCCATTGATGGGTAAAAGAATTGCAGAGTTGTGGCCACCATCTTCCATTTTTGACACACCACCTCCAGTGAGTGTTTCTGGCTGTGCTAGAAATGTGTTTTGTGCATTTTTCCTCATCCCTTGTTCTTCAGTTTTGGGGAAAATAATTTTAATTTTTCTTTAAAGGAGAGGAGCATATCCTTGAAATGCTCAGTGGGGTAGAGTGTCCTTGGGCCTATTTAGTGATAAGGTGATGAAGAGGTTTGATTATCCTATCTTTTGTGAGATGATCTGCACTCCCTTCCCCTCCATTCAATCCCAAGGGAATTTCTCCTAGGAAATTTTTTCAGAGCAGGAAGGAGGAGCAGCCAGGGAGGCTGGAAAGTGGTGGGGAAATGTGGAAGAAATAGAACAACAAAACCATTGAGTCTCCAGCCATCTGCAGCCTCCTTGACTTCTTTCCCTTCCACTCAACCCAAGGAAATTTCTTTTAAGGCACATTTTCAAATCGGGAAGGAGGAGCAGTCAGGGAGGTTGAAGACTAATGGGGAGATGTGAAACAGAAAAAAAAGAGAACAATAATCCCCTCTCCCTGGTCTGCAGTCTCCCTGACTTCCCCCCTTCCTTTCAATCCCAAGAGACCTCTGGAGAAAACTTTCACGAAAACATGTATCTGATGGTGAAATATGAGCAGCCAGGGAAGCTGCAGAACAAGAAATAAAAGGAAAACAAAAAAACAGTCCTTTCCATCTGAAAAACAGCCCCAAAAAGATATTCTCCAGCCTCCTGAGCACAAGGTACAAAAATTAGCTGCTTTCACTGGGGGGAGGAGAAGGAACATGTTAGGGGAAAATGGGAAGAGGGATTTGGAGCACAGTACTCCTTGCAGGGCACGGTTTCATGGGGTAGGTTCACTAAGGCAGTATTCGTACTTGCAGCCAGAAGTGAATTTAGCCTTGGATGGGGAGGGGTAAGGTTGCAATTGGAGCTAAGGGAGTATTGCAAGGAAAAATAACTTGGTTGTTTCCCCTCCCCAACCCCCTTGAGCACTCTGGTCCCCCTTTCCCAAAGCATTTGGGGAGAACGATGGCCCCAGCAAGCAGGAGACCTTTTCAGAAAGTGTATTTACCTCTAGGGTTAAATTCTGCAGGTGATAAAGAGTCTGTAAGCCTTGTGAAGTGAAATAGTCAATGCAGTTTGAGCACCCCAGTCCTGTTAAAAAACTGCAGGGGGGGGGGAAATAAGGGAGAAAATAAAAATAGGTTAAATCTTGGGGTCCTAGACATTGTCTGCTCAGAAGTATTCTCAAGGAGTCAGGTACCTTTGGGCAAGGATGCGTGGCTGTACAAAACCCATCATCCCCAACTCGTAGGGAGCTGACATCCGCCAAAATTTGCAGAGGTTCTTCCAAATTGGGTTTGGTAACAACCTTGGAGAGCAGAGTTAGCCATGCGGTGCCATTCCCCCAAACCACACGCCAGCCTTTGGCAAACCGCACGTACCTCTATGCACTTCTTTCATCCTCTTTGGGGGCGGGTGAAAGATATTCTTTTTGGGGACGAGCTAATGATCTTTTTCCTTCCCCCAAGACCACCTACCCAGCCCCGATACCAGAAATGGGCTTTGTGGTTGTGTCCAAACCCACAGCAAAGGATGTGGATAGTTGTCATGTGGCAGCATCTGGAGCATCGTCAGCATCCCACCCCGGATTAGTAGAAGGTTAAAACAGACAATTGGGGCTGCCCCACGCCACCTCCAACAGCGTCCGTACCTGACAAGGCTGGGGTCCGGGTTATAGGGTGGGGGGGGAGTGCAGTGTGAGCTGGAAACCATTGACTGCGAGGAGTGTGCCCCATTCATTTCTCCATTGGATTGCATGGCGTGGCTGTTGAGCATTGCCGGCCCTGGGATCCGGAAACAAAAGTGCCTGGTGAGTTTGCAAACCCCATTCCCATGGAATCATGAATGTGTGTAATGGTATGTGGGAAAGACCTTGGGAGACGGGGCGAAGAGACGCTGCCTAGGGAACCGTCAGATAAGAGGCAGCACAGCCCTCAGCTGCATAAGGGATGGGGCAAAAAGCTCAGAAGGGACCCTCCCTAGTTTCTCGGGCTGCAAAGAAGACAGCGGGAGAATTGTACTTTCAGACTTGCAAGATTCTGTTAATGTAGCTTTACAATAAAGTAGAATTAGCTCATCTGGTTGTATTTCCTGT